TAAAGCCGCGGGTTTTTTTGAAATATGAAAATTTCCAAATACTAAAATATTAGGCATTGTCGGTCTAACAAACGAGAGAGCTTCTTGTTGACTGTGGAAAACAAGACTCATGTTTTTTTCCATATCTCTTATGTCTGGTATATTTTTTCCGAGATATTTCTCTGCTATCGTTTGCTGTTTAGGGTAACAATAATTTATTGAGTAATATATGTGATACCATTGACGAATAAAATTATTTATCCTCCGCCATAATGACAGATTTAAACCGGTGTCATCTTCTATTTCCCAAACCGAAGGATGTGATGACAGAACAGGTGCACCGAGTAGATAATAATCTGTACTACGTAGTCCTAATGATGACACACCTATAAATAAATATAGAATAAGTTTTGTAAACGTGATTAATTTAAACAAGATTTGAGTTTAGAAAATTGTGTAAATAATATCATTATAAATATATATACGCACATGTCAAGATACATGAAAAATAATCAGGCTAATTTTCACGTTTATTTTTATAACTTTTGTTTCTTTGAATTATATAATGATGATGCAAAGAGAATAAGAAATATCTTGATATTAAATCAGATGGATAATGATATTATATTGTTTAACTAGTTTTATGGACATAAAACTTATTTAAATAGAATATACATAAATAAGTAAAGTAAGTAAGTTAAATGATATGGGGTTTAAGTGTACGAAGGTACGGGATATTAAAAATCTTTAAATTGAAATAATTTATGGATTTTTTCAATGTTTTCGCTAATATAAATTGAATTTTAAATGAAACATTCGTAAAATAATTTCATATATATCATTATTCTTACCTATGAGAGGTGCATTAAATCTATGCGCCAAGGCATAGAAACTAGGTATTTTTATAACTTCTACAATTACTAAGTCGAATTTTTCATCATTATTCGGTGCATACATCTTACGTACTTTTGGATGCTTAAACATGTTTTCTGTAAAATCTCCACACAGAGGCCATATTTGTGTGCGTGATGTCCTTAACCACGCATGAGTTCCCGCCATAACGTTTTTGGCAAAATTAAACTTTTTCATTATCTGGTAGTTAGATTGGAAATTGATTTCTGTCAAATTTGTCAAACTAGGGTCATTGATCGGATCTGTTGTTATAAGGACGACTTCGTGTCCTCTTTGGCTCAAAGCGATCCATAATGATTGATAACAAATTTGGTGACTGTAGGATGGTATTGGAACAATCGCCAAGATTCTTGCAGTTTTTACTGGTGCCGCAATGTATAAAAAGCTTATCCAAAATATCGTTTGAGCAATCGGCGTCATTTTACTGTCAATAATAATCAGAGCATAGTATACTTAATTATCATCGATGATAATTCAATAAAATATTCGTTCTTATTTGTATAATTGTTCTACTTTTTTATTCGTATAAAGTTTACATATTTCTTTATTAATAATGAATAATGATTTGTACACACGAAATATTTATTGCAATTAAATTTTGAGCAATATTGTAATGCGCTTATTTTCAAAAGTGCATATTTGATATCTATAGCAAATAATCTATTCCGCAAATAGGTTTTTTTTGCTGCACTAGACTGCACGAAAACTTCTCTTTTTGCTTTTGCAAATATCAAACATATATCTATTTTACTATAAGTACAAGTTCACTTAAGTACAGAGTAGTGTACACTAGTTTAGCTAAAAAGCAGATCTTATTTGTTTTCCCAAAATACTTAGATGAAATAATTAATTATTAGTACGAAGTTGTTTCTTACCTATCAATTACGTATCAAGTACGTATTAAAAGTATGTAATAACAGTTTCAGAGATCTTCACACATTCCATGACGTGCAACTGCGCGCAAAAATATATTTGAATTATACAAATATACTCATCTGATTACCAGAATGAGGTTTTAAGTATATACCTAAATCATGCACTACTTAAAAGATTTAGGCCTGTATTTATAATCGTTATTCAAAATTTATCTCAAGAGTGTATCATCACGACTCAAAACTCACTTCAGGTGAGTTTTCAACAGAAACACGACTTTAAATACGGGCGTTATCGAAGCTTGCATTTACATTTAGAATACATATTTAAAATGTTTTATTAATAATTAATAAATCTAAATGTATTAGCAATGTTGATAATTGACATATTTAGTAATTATAAATATTCAATATAATGTTGAATATTTATATAATCTATATAATCTACAGTTTATTAATAGTCTCGCTGGATATACAATTATACATACGGCTGTTCGAATACGATTTTACGTATATAAAAAAAAATGTTCATGTGGTATTGAATTCTATATTATGACAATTAAGAAAGAGAATATTTTCCTACGCTTTTCTATCGGTTTACGTGACTTCGTGTCACGGTCAAAGTGTTTTGGTGAAAAGTGAAATTTGTTTGAAACCGATAGTATACATTGCGCGTACATATTCGACAGACCGTGATAGATTGTAAAAACTTGCGAAATAGATGGACCAAAACTGTTGAAGTTCGTTTCTTTCGTCCCTTGTCCTCTTCTTTTTACACACCGTCTACTTCTCTATCTGACCACATGGACCAGGCCTTGTTTTTCTTTCTACCGCAAGAAAGTGAAATCTGGTTGTTGCTTGTTGTAACGCGGAACAATAGTTTGTAATAAAGTCTACTAATGCAACTCCAGCAAAAGCGTGTTAATTAAAGATAATTATGACTTCAAAAAGAGTTGTTTGACTTTTTAATAAGATCATAAAATAATAATATATATGAAATTAGTTACATTACGTTAATCATTTATTTCGTTATATTTTTCCGATAGAGAAAACTTTGAAATTATTGATATGATGCAAGAGAAAAAGAATCCGACAAAGTGTACAATATCTTATAAGGAAGTTACGAAAGCGAATGTTTTGTAGTAATAATTTTCAAGTTTGACTAAAAGAATCTATTTGATAAAATATATCAAGTAATATGGGGAGATTGGGGCTAGTTGTCACACTTTTCAAATACTGATTTAAAAAAAATGTGAGCAATATTTTATAATATCGTATACTACTTTATAATGTAGCTACACCCTTTAGGTGTAAGAAAAAAAAATTAGATTTGTACACGGAAAAAAAAAGATTAGCTACTATGGCTAAAATAGTCGTAATATATGGATAACTAACATTTTTTGCAATGAGAGTAACATTTTTTGCCGCGAGAACAAAAGATTTTGCTACTACTGCTAAACTATAGCTCTCGCTGCATAAAATATAGCTCTTACTGCAAAAAATATTGATTATCCATATTTTACAACTTTAGCTAAATTTTCTTCCGTGTATATATTTATACACAAAAAAGTTATTTAATTTTAAGCAAAACCGCGCAAATGTGACAACTTACCCATACCAAGGGTTGGTTGTCACATGACTCTGGATTGATTGTCAGGTATCTTTCATGTAGAGGAAACATACGACAAATAGTTCTGGTTTTAATATTTTATTAAAGTTAGTGCCAGTTTTTGGTAAATTTAACTTAATAATATATTGCAGCATGAATTAAACGAAAAATTAATAAATTTTCATAAACTTTGTAATACTTTCATAAACTTCGAGTAAATAAAAGAATAATAATTCTCATAAATTTTGAATTCTATCTCATTTAAGACAACTTACCTTGAACGGTCATTTTGAACAAAGAAGATTATATTTATAAACTATGTTGCAATGACAGTTAACTAAATATAGGAAAAATTATCTAAAACTTTAATATTTTTATGAGCAAAAAGAAATTACGACTAGTAATTTCAAAAACCAACGGAACAATAAAAATAGGGCAAGAAAAATTTACTCACCTCCTCCAATTTTTAAAAAGTGATCGTAAATATCACATGCGATGTTTTTGAAACGAACTATTTCGTACACCCGACTAACACAATAGGAGCAACCTACACTATAAAGAAGAATATTCCACTCAATCTATTAAGTGAGATATAAGCTTTGTGACAACTTACCCGTGTGACTTCTAAACCTCGGTCTCTCCTAGCTTTAAAAGAGAACTTATTATCTTACCACTATTATAGTATGCTCCCCACTATATTTGTGTGGAGTAATATTGAGATAACAATTCTGAATAATATTTTTTAATATAATTCTTAAAATTTATGCTTTTATGCTATTATAATGCATTTAAAAACTTGTGACATGTGTCACACTGCCATCAGTAATACTGTATATGAATATGTATCAAATGCACTGAAACGAGAACGTAACTCGTGTAAGACTCTTTAAAACGCGATATTTTGATATTGCTATTACACATTGGATGTGTATGTCGGAATATTTCAATCAATGTGCTTACGGCCATATTAAATACCAAGCATTTTCGACAGCGTGCATCTTCGATCATTTATGATTTTTCGCATTTAGTTAAGAATCAATTATAGAAAACTTAGAAAAGAAAAAATGCGATCAACTTTACTTGCTTTGTTTCAATTAGATTATTATTTGATTGTCAAATAATATAGTAAATGAATAACGCATATTTTTCTTTTTTTTTATATTCATATGTTAATAATGATCGGACTTGAATGATCTCTTCTGTAATAGATTGATGCGTCTTTAATAAAATATTATGCTATCTCTTTGCCATCTATAATTCATGACAAATGGACGATTTGTTCATAATGACGATGAATGTTTATATATGTCTGTGTCAAATACATAAGAATACTTGGAAAGTTACCTCCGTAACCCCGCGACATTATTGAGGCTCCGTAATTCTGACAACTTGAGGATAAGTTCAATAATAACGATGGAAACGTTATGGTGAAGTGGTCTTTTCTGAGTTAGTGTCGTATTATACATATAAGAGTCGTAATAATAAAATTCACATTAATCTTTCACGGAACATTCAGCGAAGGAGAGAAGAGAGAGAAGAGAGAGAGAGAGAGAGAGAGAGAAAAAAAAAGATGGAATAGCATGGGTGCCCGTCGTGCTTCAGCCCAGAACTGCGGAACTATTTATGACTCCAGTCCATTTGTCGAACGTCACGAGGGATTTCCGGAAATTGCTTTAAACGCGTAATGGCACGTCCGCTTTCGGAGTTTACCGGTCGGGTTACCAGCTGTCATAATAAAAACGTTGTTATTGTCCGCGATGGCACGACCGCTGTGCGTGACTATTGCGAATTGACGAGAACGATCAGTAGACGCCTGGCAGATAGACATTTCTTCGCAAAAACGATTTCCGACAATTACACACGAATCATAGGCCTAAAGTAAATTCTGTCATCGAATTAAACTCTCTTTGCGTCGATCGTCTCAGTTTACGGAAAATAAAACTTTAGTAGTAAATAACATAAATTTTTAAATTAATTTGTCTAGTAAAAAAATATTAGAATGTAGCAGCAATCAAATTGAATCCTTATCTTTATTCAAATAATTAAAAATATATCGTCAATCCCATAAAACCAATAAAAGAAAAAGATATATAAAATTAAATGTGGTAGGATGGCTTTTTAATAAATTATACTAATATCAGAAGTATCGTTATGTTACTTACTTTATTTCGCGGAATGATGAACAATGTAGAAACGGACGCTTCGCTCTTCGTCGGATCGACTCCGTCGTGATCGTTCCCAGGACTATCTCGATACTCCTTCTCAGGCGTTCTGGCTTCCTACTGACGGAGAGGATTTTACGCTCGGCAGTTAACGTTCTTATATATTATATCTCGTAAATATTTTGATTTAAAGACGTCTTTTTTAAAAGATTTAAAACCGTAAACACCAGAGAGATAAAGCCCCTTGCACAATGCTAGGCGATAGCGATAGCGATAGCTATATAGCGATCCGAATCGAAATTTTACTCCTTCTTTCGACCTCTTATTTTTCACATCTAAGGATTCTGGAGGATTTTGATAGGTTCTATTTATATAAGAATTGTATTGTATACTTAGCTTCTACTTTGTGTCCCGGACGAATCAGCTGTTTCCCGGGGCCCCTTCTCACCATGAAAAACGCGCCGAGAAGCACACCCGCGAGGTTTTAGCCGGTAAAAATCCGGCACTCCCTTCGCCTCTCCCCGAGCGCGGGGGAGTCTTCCCCCTCTTATTAGAGGGGGTTATCGGTCACGATCGGTAGCAGAAGATTTCCCCGCGTAAAAAAAGCTACTTTGTGCCTCAAATAGGCAGTAAACGAACTGTTTCCCATTTTGAGGTTTAAAAAAGGAGTTACCGGTAAAACCTCCTAAAACGCTTTAGATCCTACACTGATAGAAAAATGTACTAAATTTTAATTCATTTTTCTCCAATAGTCCTTATAAAGTATTTTTTTAATTCAGTTAATATTTTTCGAGTAAAGAAAATATTCATCCAATTGAAACAAATTTTCTAAACCTAATAAAATATTTACTGAATTCAAAAGAATACTTTATTAGGACTATTGGAGAAAACATTTATTGAAATTTAGTACATTTTACTATCAATGTATTAATTTTTATTACTTTTTAAATCGTAATAAAACATGTTTCATATCACGTCGGTGATTCATAGTATAGGTTTTGGTAAATTTTATAATTGCGTTTAACGGAGCAACGAGATACGGTTGTGACTTTGACTTATGTTGTATCTCGTTTCTCTGTTAAATGCAATATTTATATAGATTTATTATTTAGAATCTAAGATTTTTAATATTAAAAAAATATTACCGCAAAATATTTTATAACATTGTTAATTAACCAGATACATATAGACATACATGTATCACAATTAATAATGTTATAAAATTTATTTATATAATAAATCTTTTTCTTATTAGTCATCTGAAACACAACTTAAATAAAAACTCCACTGCAAGTCACCGATAATATACATGACATAGAGCATGTTAATGTGGTAAATAGCATATAGGGGGGAGAGTCAGAAAAAATCTAAGAGATCGCAAACGTTTCTTTCTAAGGTACAAAGAAACATATATTTATTTGTTTACACTTTTTTATCTACTTGTTCATGTACTCTTGCATACTATCCAAATTAAACTCATATTATATCATAACAAAAAAAAATTTTTTTAGCCATTTAAAAACCATTGCCAATAAAATAATTAATATATGTATTGTATCTTAATAAAAGTTAAAATTAAAATTTAGTTTCAATAAAATTAAAATTAAAATTGAGAAATGTCTTGATACTGATGGTGAGTATCTTAAAATGAAATATCTTAATACTAATAAGACTTAAAATTAATACCTTAATACCAAATAAATAATCGCATATCACAAATAACATTTTTTTAATGTTTTATGTTGTAATGGAAAAAATTGTGACAGATAATATATTAATGAATCTAGAATTACTAAGTCGAATTTTTCATCACTATCCGGTGCATACATCTTACGTACTTTTGGATGCTTAAAAATATTTTCTGCTATATCTTCACAATTACAGGCCATATTTGTGTGCGTGATGTACTTAACCACGAATAAGTCCCCGCTATAACGTTTTTCACAAAATTTAATTTTTTCATAAACTGGTAGTTAGATTGGAAGTTGATTTCTGTTAAATTGGTCAAACTAGAATCATTGATCGGATCTGTTGTTATAAGGACGACTTCGTGTCCTCTTTGGCTCAAAGCAATCCATAATGATTGATAACAAATTTGGTGACTGTAGGATGGTGCTGGAACAATTGCCAAGATTCTTACAGTTTTTACTGGTGCCGCGATGTATAAAAAGCTCATCCAAAATATCGTTTCTGCAATCGGCTTCATTTTACTGTCAATAATAAGCAGAGCATAGTAAACTTAATTATCATCGATGAAAATTCAATAAAACATTTGTTTTTATTCGTATAAATGTTCTATTTTTTTATTCATATAAAGTTCACATATTTCTTTATTAATAATGAATGATGATTTGTACACACGAAATATTTATTGCAATTAAATTTTGAGCAATATTGCAATGCGCTTATTTTCAAAAATGCGTATTTGATATCTATAGCAAATAATTGAAATAATCCATTCCGCAAATAGGTTTTTTTTTTTTTATTGCTGCACTAGACTGCACTAAAATATTCTTGCTTTTGCCAAATATCAAACAGAATACCTATTTCACTATAAGTACAGAGTTCACTTAAGTACAGAGTAGTGTACTTAAGCTATTCTGTGTACACTACTTTAGCTAAAAAGCAGATCTTATTTGTTTTTCCAAAATATATGAAATAATTAATTATTGGTTCGAAGTTGTTTCTTACCTATCAAGTACGTATAATCAATTATGTATCAAGTACATACGTATCAAAAGTCAAAAGTACGTAACAGCTTCAGAGATCTTCACTCACACTTTATGACGTGCAACTGCGCGCAAGAATATATTTGAATTGTACAAATACACTCTTCTGATTACCAGAATGAGGTTTTAAGTAAATCATGCACTACTTAAAAGACTTAGGCCTGTATTTATAATCGTTATTCTCAAGAGCGTATCAGGTGAGATACTCAATATTGCATTTTATATCTTGAAACGCAGACAGTTCAATAGTTATGTTTTGATTAGAGATTAACTGAGACTGTATTTATAATTATTATGTTATTATTGATAAACTCAATTTCTTTTCAAGTTACCTATAAACCATACTTAAGTAATACACGATTTTCTCCGACTCAATATTTAATTGATATATTTAAAAAAATGACTATTAAACTGTCAAAAATAGTTTTTAGATCACATCTCAAAACGATCTACAGCTAAGTTTCTCTCACTTGAATTACAAAAATGATGTATCAAATATCTCAAATTAATTTTCAATTAAGATTCATCTATTAAAACATCACGACTCAAAACTCACTTTAGGTGAGTTTTCAACAGAAACACGACTTTAAATACGGGTCTTATCGAAGCTTGTATTTACATTTAGAATACATATTCAAAATGTATTATTAATAATTAATAAATCTAAATATATTAACAATAGTTGATATATTTGGTAATTATAAATATTCAATATAATGCTATCTATATAATCTACAGCTTATTAGTATACTCT